ATATGGGAGTTTCCGAAAACAGGGGACCCTGATACAGTACCCTAAATAGTAGGATCCCCATTATAAGGACCCAAAATAGGGTACCCCTATTTTCGGAGACTCTAAACCCTAAGCCCTTTATAGAACCCTTCTAGATCCCTTTAAGGAGCACTTTACGGATCCCTTTTAAAGGACCCCCCCCGCCCGAAATGTCGGAAACTCCTACTTCTTTCTGGGATTTTCAAAAGTCAGGGTGCAGGGCTATGGGCTGAGGTCTCGTATGCTCAGATCTCCTTCGGGGGCAGGGCTTCCAGTTTTGAAGTTTGGCTGCTAAGGTTCTTAGAGATCCCAATGCCCCTCAATTAAGGAAGATACCATAAGTTATAGTAGGATCCCAAATATGATTTAAGGTATATTCCCTAATTAAGGGGTATTGGGTTCTCTGGGTTAGTTCAGGGCATCTAGGTCGATCGGTTCAGGTGAACTTGGCTTCCCAGGGTGTTCCGGGTGTAGGTTCTTGCTGGGAAGTGGGCGTAAAATACAAGATTGGAGCCTGTCCGCACTGCTTCGAAGCAGTCTTAGTTGAGAGTCAGCCGAGGCACCCTTTCTAATTTGTGTGATGATCCTATGGTGCTCTGCCGTGGACTCCACTACTACACGCCTTGGGAGACAGAGGCCGGGTTGGACGTAGGGTGAATGCTTGGGTTTCGAAAGGAGCAATCGAAGCCTTCAAGCGCAGCGCAGAACGAGAGTTCTTCAGCCAGGAATCTCCCTCTAGGGCTCCGGCTACCTGAAGGGGTACATGATATATGAGTAATTAGAAACCTGCTATTTAGGTAACCGGAGCCCCAGGGTTCGTGCACGTTGGGGGTGGCTTGTCTTGACAGTTCGACGATGCCCTCCTAGACATCAGCAGCAAATGCAAGAAGACTGAAGCCTCCTGCACAGACAGCTTAAGGTCCATCGGCGCTCCTGATTGGGGTTTAGGGCAAACGGGTTCCGGGTTGAGGGTTTGGAGTCAAGGGCCTAGGGTTTATACAAACCGTCAAACCCCCGGAATCCTAAACCCCTAAACCCTGAACCTCAAACCCGAAGCGCTGTTTTCAGGATGCCTGCCTCAATCGGGGCTCTCTCGACCGGCGGCGGGATAGAAAGGGGCGCTTGAACACAAACCCGAAGCCCTGAACCACCGCCCCTCCGGAGCCGCTCCGGGAGGTGGATCCCATGAGTTTGGGCTGCTCTGCGCACACGGACTATGGCCTTATATCGCTGTTGCACCAAACTGGCCCAGGACGCTTCAGCAGAACTGTCATACTTATATGGGTACTACAAGGGCTATCACAAGGGAGGATTACAAGGGTACAGCTACTATGCCTGGTTTCTTTCGGGCTTGTGCCTTTCTTCGCAAGCTTCAAATTCAGGGGAGAAGGGTACACTCTAAACCCTCTATAGACACTAGACCCTAAACTCAAAGTCCCAAAGCCTAAACCCTAAACCCCAAATTAACGCCCTCAACACCAAAGTGCGAATCCGTGGAGGATTGCAAGTTCTCCACGCACAGACTGAGACTTGGATGGATGTTGACCCGCTGCCCGGTGTCTTGGCAGATGGGACTGGGACTATCCTCCAGTATGGTTCCCGTATCTCTTTTGAGCAGTGCTACATGTAAGCCTATCGGTATAGTTCTCTACATTAGGGCCACTTTCTGGTTCCGAGAATAGCACAGCACCGGTATCAACAAAGACCCTGAAAGGAACCCTGATAAAGAGCACTGCCCATATCGTTTCTGAAGCAGATCGCGGGTTCCTGGATACATTTTGCGACCTTACTTCAGGGACGAGGAAGATCGGGGGGAGGATCAGTCAGTAGGATTTAGGCTTTAGAGTTCAGGGAGTTAGGAAGTAGTAAAAGAAGCAAAGTAATTGTCGTTCTGTCTACTCATGGGTTCTTGAAGCCCCACCTGCTACAGTCCCGTGACCCTGAAGCAGTATCAGTAGTGCTATGCCTTAGGTTTCCTTAATGTGTTTCAGCTCTGTAGGACCGCTCCTGCCACACCACACAGATCAAGCCTTAAACCCTAAACCTCAAATCCTAAACCCCTAAAGTAGTCTTCAGGCTTCCTGGAGCATATTTCAGTACACAACTCGACAAGAATCAAGCTTAACTCCTAAACCTTTACCCTATCCCTCCAAGGACCTCATAGTTAAAACCCTAGACCCCTTAAGGACCCCATAATAAGGTCCCTGGAGGCAGAGGGTTAAAGTATTCTTTAGGCTCCCTGGTCGTGAACCTGGGTGATCTGATGCAGCGCTGGACAAATGGCCGCTTCAAGTCCACGGTCCACCGGGTTCTACCTCCGGCTCCGGGTCCTTTGCAGAGAGGTTTAGAGGGTTTAGGATAGTTTAGGGTTTGGGGTATAGATTTCAGGGTCTAGGGTATAGGGCCGTCGGTATAGAGTTTAGGGTTCAGGGTATGGGCTTAGGGTTAGGGGTTTGGGGTAAACGCATAGGGTTCAGGGAGGGCATGGGGCTTTGAGCTTGTAGAGTTTACTGAGATACGAGAAGACCCTGGAATCCCCTTCGGAACTTCGGAAGAACTACAACCGAACATAGGGGCCTTAGTATAATTACCGATACTATTTTGGTGCTTCCTTATTATAGATAAAATATAGGTATAGTATAATGGGCCCCAAAACCCCATTCTAATTATTCAGGCACCTATATTACGAGAACTCGCTGAATCCCACCTTGCCCATGAAGCCGATAAGGATTACGACTAATTATGATACCTTGGAACTATGAAGCCCTAGATTCAGACATCCTAAACCCCAAACCCTAAACCTCTGCAAACCCTAAAGCCCTAAACCCTAAAGCCTAAACCCCTAGACCCCTAAACCCTGAACCCTCAACCCCAGAGCCCAGATCAGGCATGACCCGCCAATGCATCGGCTTCTTCCTGGATGCCAACTACCACGCCGTGATCGAGCCACTACAATCAACCAGAGGGAGCCGAAATGACACCCGTAAGGGCTCCTTTAAGGGATCGCGGTTCCTTTAAAGGCTGCCTGTAAGGGATCCTTTAAGGGTTCCTTCAAAAGTTCCTTGAAGGGTTCCTTGTAGGTAAGGGTCCTATATGCTTGCACTATGAATCCCTATAGCATATGAGCCTTAAGCCTTTTTGATTCATGTCGTCCTTACGGATCTGATGGCTTGGACTTGGGTCGCGGGAGTTAGGACTTAGTTGGGGATTTAGAGAAGAGGTTGGCGGATTCAGGTTAGCGAAAAAGGGAACAAGACGAGGCCAACGGTTGTGGACATCCCTTGCTACCATCATCTTAGTGTGGCTTTTCTAAATCCTGACCTTGAAACCCTATGAAATCCTTAGCCCTATAAGCCCTCGATCCTATCCTAGATCCTATCCGATATCCCTTAAGTCCCTAAGCCCGAACCTAGAACGCACAGAAGCTTCCATCATCTCTGAGTGACTTTGCCCCATACCCTGGATCCCCAAATCAACCCTGAGCCTCAAGAAGTTCTGTCAGCACATACCCCAAACCCTATAATGACCCCAGAAAGCCCTCATGGACCCAGGCCTATCCGGCGGCCTGGAGAGAAGTCGCACTACTTGAGCATCGTCGCCGGTGAGCACAAGCTCGCCAAATTCCACGTGCCTCTTCTCGATGTTTTGAAGTTGCTTCGGGGTTGAAGATGAGGGCTTTAGGGAATTCCAGACCCCAAGCGCTATTCAAAACCCCTAAACCCCAGAAGCCCAAAGCCCAAACAACATCTAAAGATGCATACTAAACCCTAAACTCTAAACCCTAAGCCCTAAACCCTACACTCTAAACTCTAAACCCTAAACCCTAAACTCTAAGCCCTAAGCCCTAAACCCTGAAGATGCATACACATTTTCCCTCGGAGCCGAGTGACCCGTATAAGTAGGGGCCCTATGCTATGAATCCCCCTATTGGGATATGGGTGGTTGTCAAATTATGGTCCTTTTTTGGGTCCTTTTATAGTAGGGCAGGGCGCCTAATATTAAGGGTACCCAAGAAGGGGCCCTAATTTTGACAACCGCCCATATGAACCTTAAACCCTTTAAAAGTACGGTTCTTCCTTGTGATTCTTGTGCTTGGGCTCCAACTGCTCAAACAATGGGTTACTTTGCTACATATTATCAGCATATTCCCAGAGATCCCAACACCCCTTAGTTAAGGAACATACATTAAAATAGAATAGGATCCCTAGTATGATCTCAGGCACACGCCTTAATTATATAAGGGATATTGGGCTCTCTGGGTTTGTCCTTGAGACCGGACAGCCTCGGAGTCTAGCATGCCGAGCAAGTAAGGTGCAGTCCGGCTCGAAGCTGGATGCCAACAGCGAAGAGCTCTTCCATCGAACCTTGCATGCCCCGAAATTCGCCACCAGTGCGCTTTGAGTCTGGACCCTTGATGCTGTCCTGGAAAGACGGGGCAAGCACGGGCCGTTGCTTCAATTTTGTGTCTTCCTGGCGCGCGGTGCTGCGCACCGACGCGCCCTTGGCTGGAAAGCCCGTTTGTGCCGGCAGTTGCCGCAAGACTTAGAATGTCAAGAGAGATGGTTAGCCCGAGAAAGAACTCAGCTGCACCACTGCTCGGCTAGGCACATGCTTCGACCCAAATCCCCAATCCATAACAATCCTCAAACCCCCAGGCCTCATCCTACGGTGGATGATATAGATCCTGCATTACCTTAAGGACCCTAAATTATGGTATATTCCTTATTATGGGTCATGCAGGGTTTATATCATCAACAGTAGTAGCAGTTCCTAAGCACGACCCTGAACCTCAGATCGGGATCTGCCCTAAGCCCCAGCTTTCGCCTCCCAGCTCTGCTAAACGGATCCCTGAAAGTCATGCAGAAGTCTGAATAGTTACCGGCTCGTCACCATGATTGTATGGCTGTGTGAATCAAAGAGTATACACCCCTAAACCCTATATTGCAGAAACCTTATAGTAACTAAAGCCCCTATATTGGCAGGTTCGTCGGCGACGCAGCTGGCCATCGGCTGCGGGGCAGCTTCGCTGGCCTTTGGGGCTTGGGCCGGGGTGAGGCCGTTTCGGGACTGTGGGGCTCTGGTAAGAGTTGTTCTAACGTTACTCTACACCCTAAACCTTTAAACCCTACACGCCAAGCCCTAAGCCCTACAAGTTTCAGAGGTGTCTGGTTGTCGGATTCAGGGACTTCTAGGGGTGAAGGCCTTAAAGGAAGGTTTCGAGTGCAATAAACGATACTTTGTGCGTATGGCATTATGTGCCCCAAAACCCCTTTCTACTCGCTAAGGCCCCTGTATGAGCATCTCACATACACGCTTACTGTTTCCGAGACTGACTCGACAGCCCAACACCACGGTTGCAGCGGAGCAGGATGACTCCCAGATCATCAAGCAAGCCTGCGAACGACCGGAGGAGTTTGTGCTGAAGCCTCAGCGCCACTTGTCTGAACACTTCTCCTAAGACTGGCAGTAGCTGCATGTGCAGGGTTTTGGGTTTGAGGCTTGGGGTCTTTGTGCTCTGTCCTAGACGTATGTTAAGCCTCGCAGTTTAGACTTTGCCTTCATAATGTTTCAAGTTGTTGGTGCGGCCAGTGATTCGCAGAGTTAGGCGCGGAGCCATTGCAGCCTCAATGGCGTCCTTCCAATTGGCTTTGTGATAACAAACACGATCATGCATCCGATCCTGGGAACTACCTGTAGTCTCCATTGTAGTTCCTTTTTTGGTTTAACCAATTATATGTTAAGGATCCTAGAAGGTAAACCCAAAAAGGAACTACAATGGAGACTATAGGTACGACCTGGAGGCCATTGAAACGCTCAAAGCACGCGTGTGTTCAGCTCTTTGGGGTCAAATCTTCCCTTGTGGCCCAGATGGCGAACGCAAGGCTTAGGTGGTGGGAACCTTAAGGACGAAATGAATCTCAAAAGGGTTTAAGGTTCCTATACTATATAGGGATTCATAGCATAAGGGTATAGAGCCCCTACTTATAAGGGTGATTTGGTCCCCAAGGAAGGAGGCAATCAGAATGCTTCACTCTGTATTCCTAACCTGCTGAAGTGCAGAGCCCGCAACTAGCACTCAAAGGAGCGAAGTCCAACCCACATGCACAGTTTGGCCAACCTGCAGCCAGCACCCAAAACGCAGAAGCGCCCAAGGAGAAGGTGGCGGCCACAACTTCTACGGCTTCCCGACCAAAGTGATTGTGTGGTGTAGTAGTTACCTTTGGTTAGTAGGGAATGGAAGAATGGTAGTAATAGTAGTTATAATTGTACCCCATTCCTCCATTCCCTACTAACCAAAGGTAAGAGTAGAGGGGCTTAAATCCCTGCCGGTAGCATTCCTCAGGGCTGATTTTGCCATCCGTTCTTGTGCAGAGTGTCGGGTGTATAGACCTTAAACCCGAGCTCAAAACTAAACTTCAAACCTCAACGCCCAAACTTGAAAAGTCTGGGTTTCACGTGGTGAGTTGGCGGGACCAGCCTGAGGATCACAAGGTGCTTCCACGTCAACGCCGCATTGAAGGGGTTGCGGGTTTAGGGTTTAGGACTGGGTTCACGGTTTAGGGTGCAGGACTTCGGACCAAAACCTCACTTGACCTTGATTTCAGGCGTTCTCGTACTTCGCTCCCAAAAAGCGCGAAGATACGGAGACCCTGATGCCTGAACCCTAAACCCGGGACCTCTGCACCAAGGTGCAGATGTTGCCAAGAAGCTGAAGGCTTGGTATGATGACGCTGGTGGGTTCAGGGCTTCAGAGGTTTATTGCTGTAGGGTTGAGGGGTGTAGGGTGTGTAGGGTTTGCGTTGCTAGTTTGGGGTTTGTGGCTTAGTTAGTCAGTCTAGGGATTGCAGAGAAGGCTCCCAGTCTAGATTCTGAACCGTGATGTTTGTGATTTCTTTGGTTTGGTAGAGGCAGAAAGCTTCCACTGGGCAGCCAAGCCAAACCAGACCACCGTGTTCGTTTCGATGTCAGGAATCATCCACCATGTGACAACTCTTACCCGGTCTTACCCAGTGTTTGGTGCAGGGTGTCCTGACAGGTAGAATGTTTCAGCCCGGAACCCACAACCTTGTGTTAAATCCGAAGCCTTGCAATCCCAAGGCCCAAACTGACACAGTGAAACCTCAGATCCTTTACCCTAAGCCGACACCCTACCCCTGTATTCAATCGCGTGTTGAGCCTTGCCATTAATGTCCAGTCGGAGGACATTTTCGGCGTAGGGTCTGCAAGGTGCTTGTCAGTTTGCGCTTTAAGCTTTCACGATAGGCATAGGCTTCATAGCTCACTCGATATATCTGGAAGAAGACTTCTAGCAGGAGCCGGATCTAAACCCTAAACCCCTAAACCCTAAACCCTAAGCCCTTGAAACTTAAGATCCCGTTTGAGCTTGGAGCCCAGACCTTCCAACATCACTTAATTAAGGAATATACCTTAAATCATAATAGGGATCCTACGATAATTTAGGGTATATTCCTTAATTAAGGGATTTTGGAAGGTCTGGGAGTTGCGGTTCAGAGTCAGAGACGGAGGGTTGATGTTTCAGGGTTGATGATTGAGACTTTGGGGCGTCATTTTGGGGTTAAGCGGAGATTTGCTGCAGCAACGGTGGATGGTATAAATCCTGCATGACCTGAAGGACCCTAAACTACGGGAATTATGGTATATTCCTTATTATGGGTCATGCAGGATTTATATCATCAACCGAAGCTCTGCTGCCATGAATGCCATGCCCTTCGGAACTGAAACCAAGATCGGAAGAGGGCTCGCTGAGCAAGCTTAGGGGCTGAGGCTTACGACTTAGGCATCCCTGGACCGCAAAAGTACATAGAAGAATAGCTTTTTATAGGTTTTGGGCCATTATTTTGCTTACTTTTGGTGGTTAGGTTGTTGAAAGACCTCTAACCTCCCATCGCCTGGAATGGTATGTATTTGTTGTGCAGTTTGGAAAAAGGCCTGGGCTTTACAAGATACATGAAACGGCAGAGTCGGCCCGACCCCTACTTAAAGACACCCCGCATCATACATCATACACTAGCCCAAAGGCTCCATGTACCCATATAGCAGGTATTTAGGCCTTAAAGTTCCCATATAGGGACCCCTTTAAGGCCTACTATGTGGGCACGTGGAGTCTTAGGGTAGGCTTTCCAAGCACCTTGTACGGGAGCGCTGCATCGATTCCAGGAGCTGACGCCTGAGGAGCGAAGTGCTTACATTCTGATGCAGCGGCATCCCGGCTCTGTTTTAGGAATCGGACTGTCCAGCAATAGTAGAGAATTCCCTTCCCTTTTTGTCCGTGCATGCGTAGAATCCACGATGGTTACTATAGTAACCCCCTACAGGCCCTATTGATATTCGCACCGGGCCCTGTATGAGTTCGGTTTGGACGGTAAAAATCGGGGTTATAAGTCCCCTAAGTGGGGTTATCCTAATTATAACCTACTTATAACCTTACTTACTAAGTCCCATGATCCTCTAAGTATCTTGCCACCACCCTCCAAGCGCAGCGCAGGCCTTTGATGCCTTATGCCCTCACTCGAGGCCTGAGTGCGGACACCTTTGTTCTTTCAATGTACATCTTGCATGCTGAGGACCCAGATAATGTACGGAACCCCCCTGCATGTTTATTCATGATAACCGTGTCAATACATCTTCTAGTGTTCTACCAACGCCTTGGATGGGCATCTAGTGGAGATAACGGTGTTCGGTAGCTTGGGTGCAAGCTTTCCTTGCTACCTGCAGGATGTGCTTCTTAGAGTATCATAGGACTTAGTATTGCAGTTGTAACTGACTAGGGTTATAAACAAGGTAACTATAGCTATAAGTACTTATAACTCCAACTAAGGTACTCATAACCTTACTTACTAAGTCCCATGACCCTTGAAGTAGGGTTTGTCGTGCTGAGGATACTTCCGGGCCTGCAGCCCTCCGTCATGAGCCTCGGATGCAGTAAAGAAAGAGACGGTCCATGTTTTCGTGTTCAGGCTTGCTTTTGGGCTTTACCCATAGGCTCCAGAGTAGTCCCTTCTTGGGATTTCCTTAAAGGAACCTAAATCTAAACCACAGAAAGGAACTACAATATCCACAATGGGGCCTATAGGTAGGTAGACAGCTCCGGTTTTGGGGTTTAGAGTTTAGGTGTTCTCTATCTCTGATGCCTGCTTGGTCTTCACTTACACCTTTCCCTACATGGGAGTTTCCGAAAATTAGGCATACCGTATTTCGGGGTCCTTACAATGAGGATCCTACGATTTAGGGTACCATATTAGGGTCCCCTATTTTCGGAAACTTCCGCATCTCAGTTTCCTTCAAAATCACGTGCTGTGCAGTTGCTGCTGTCTCTAGGCCAACGCAGGACTTGATTGCACTTTACTTGTGGTAATCATCCAGCACTAAATGAGATAATCCCTAAACCTTACATCCTGAGACCCAATGGCCCAATGCCCCCTGCATGGCTCGGAGAGGATTTGCCTCGGTCCCGGACTACGCAGAGTACCCAGAGAACCCAATTTCCCTTAATAAAGGAATACCTGCACACCAAAAGTATGTAGAATAATCTCCTTTTATAGGTTTCGGGCCATTATTTTACCTACTTTTGGGTGTCTGGGTATACCTTAACTTATAGTAGGATCCCTCATATGATTTAAGGTATATATTCCTTAGTTAAGGGGTCTCTGGGTAATCCTCTCGATCTGCGGAGTTGGGTTTAGGTTAGGGTTTCTTAAAGTCTTAAGCCCTGGATCCTGTACCCTTAGGCTCTAAGGACTCATGTTTTAAGGCTTTTGGGCCCAAAGACCATACGATATAAGGCTTTTGGGCTATTTTGAGCCTTAGGGGTACAAACAGCAGCCCAACCTAAGCCGCAAACTCGAAATGCCCAAGAGTCCCCACAGAAACAGAGCCAAGGACCCGCGAGGGAAAAGTGCAGGCCTGATCTCGGGCAGTCAGGGACCCAAAAGCACATAAGCATAAGATTTTATGGGGATATCCCTACCATATTGGGCTTCATGAAAGGGGTTTATATGGGCCATCCCTACCCTAATTTTTGCTTATGTGCTTTTTGGGGGCCCTATTAGTGCCGCGCAGAGTTTGGGGCCTGGGGTTTACGGTTGATAGGGTCCAGGGCCATGGGTTTACGAAGCTTCACTAGTGGGGTATTAGAGCATGAGGTTCGGTACTGGGGGTAGGAACCGAATGGATGAATGATGCGCCGTGGGCTATGATTCATGCAGTACGTACCGGCAGCACCGCGAACCCAGAACCCTAGCTTATAATCATGTGCCCCCGCTGGCTTGAATCAGTTGACTCGGCCGTAGTCGTGGCTCATGTCGGCATTCAAGCACCAATCCCCTCAAAAGCACAGGTAATCCCGAAACACTAATGCCGATGAGCCCTAAAACCAAAGCGTATAAACCCTGAACCCAACACGCCCTACAAACCCCAAAGCCATCTTACTAAAGCTATAGTTATCAACCCTGTAAAAGCCTATGCAACTTCATAGCTACACCTGCCAAAAGTGGGCCGGGCTTATAATCACTTATAGAACCCTTAAGCCCTATCATCTCATAAATCTCATATAGGGCTCTTATAGCTTGTATTCACATATTATAGAGCCCTTGAACCTGATTTCCCTTATAGAATCCTGAAAGCTTTTTTTACAGGGCACTTAGAGCAATAGAGCGTATAGTTTTGGTCTACCCTTAATGTTTACACTCACCGATAGATCCCTTAAAGTAAACCTGAACATTCCGGATAGAAGCATTCAAGCTAATCATCCCTTGGAGCACCCTTAAAGCTTATCATCCCCTACCTGGTACCCTTAAAGCGGGGGCAGGTGATGGACTGCTTGTCAGAGTTTGGCTTTTACTCCGTTTTCCTTGGTGATGGCAGGACTGGAGAGGGTTTAGGGCTTTGGGGGATGTCTGGTTTAGAGGTTTGGCTTTAGTGTTTGGGGGATTTAGGATTTTGGACTTAAGTTTAGGGTTGAGGACGAGGTCCAGGGTCCAGGGTTTTGTAACAATTAAATCTAGGGTGCATAGGTTCAGAGTTCGGGGCTCTTTGGCCTGTAGTCTTTTGGCTCGATTCCCTATATCCTAAACCTTAAACTGTAAACCCTCGGCCAAAACTTAAACCCTAAACCCTAAACCCAAGCCCTTGAAAGAACCTTCGACGCAACCCTACACCCTGAACCCAGGCCCTTTAAAGGAACCCCTTAAAGGAACCCGAAACCCCTAAACCCTAAACCATAAACTTTGCATTTTAAGAAAGAAGCCTTAAACTTCAAGCCCTGGGCCAAAACCTAAACCTGAAGCCTTAAACCTAAACTTCCCCTGAAACCCTATACACCCTAAACCCTGAACTGCAAACTGCAGGAATGTTCATCTTTCCGAGCATGCGGGGCACTTGGTGCGAACGAAAGCCCAAGGCGCCTCGGAAGGGGGCCAGTTGGGGCTAACCGTGCAGAGTTTAGGAATTGGGTTCCTTTTAAAAGGGTTCCTTTTTGCAGGGGTCTATAAGGATTACTATAAGGGATATTATGGGGGTTTAGCACAGGGGCCGAAATGTTTACCATTACTATTTGGGGGGGTTTTTGATTACAAGTATTAGTATAATGGGCCCCAAACCCTTTTCTAAATATTAAGGCCCCTATGTGATTTACGGTATGGGGATGGGGCTTCCGCTGAGCTCGAGACTAGGAATGGCGCGGAGATGATGTAGCATCGGCCGGTTAGCTTCCGCTTGTGGGACCTCGGATACAAAGTAGTGCCTACAATCTCCATCGTAGTAACCCTTTTTTTGGTTAGCCACTTTTGTGGTTAGGATCCTGTCATACAAACCTGGTTAACAAGAAAGGAGCTACAATGGAGACTATATGTAAAACGTATGCTGGCGTGGGAATGTCATCCCTTTACATCTGGGCTCGCGCAGGTGTGGATGAAGGCGGTGTTGCGGCGGGATACGCTGCCGCTAGCCAACGATCTAACCTGCGATTGAGTTCGGGACGTGGCTTCGGGCGTTAGGCGGTTTTGACATGTTTTGACTGTATTCACGCCGCCCCATCCTTTCCCCGAGAGTCCTTACTTCTCACCCTACCAAACCTATATAGCCGGGCGGCTGTCAGTCAGTCCCTGTGGTCAGTCCATGCTGCAAAACAGTACTCAGTAGATAGTACATAAAATAAGCTATAGGATGTAACTCATGGCATAGTTCTAAGAGCGACTCTCCGACCCCTCCCCCCCCCCCGCGCATGCTTAGTACGCAGATGCAATCATCCACGATATGCAGCTATGCTGTCGTGCTCTCAGTACTTCCTAACTTGTAAGACTCTCTGGGACTCTCTGCTTAAAGCTGCACTACACTCGATAATACGGAGGCCTCCAACAATTCAGTAGTCACAGTGGGTTAGTACTGGAACTTCAATAAACCAGGCAAAACTTTACTCAAGTCATTAAGGCCCCTGTGCTACTGTATGAATGGAACTGTTTCGAGCTTCTTCCGATACAGGGGCCTATATATTTTCCGTTACTATTCTGGGAAATTCTGGGGGTTCCTTATTATCTAAGTACAGTACAATATATACCCCAAAACCTTGATCGAATTATTAAGGCCCTTGCAGCAACATTGCATTGCTCTCTGGGATCGGAGAGCTGCAAACCCGCTGCCTCTGAGGTGATCAGTGGCCCCTTCCTGACCTAGGGAGCAGCGCTGCGCCCCAAGCCCGCACCCTGAACCTGAATATAAGGTTCGGGGTCCGCGGCTTAGGGTTTGAGCAGCAAGCTGTCATGTGGCACACGACACAGGGTGTAGGCTCTGTACTGTAGAAGCCCATACAATCAACAGTACAATTCCTACTGGCTCCTTGAAACTATACAAATATTATAGCATTACACTCCCAAGTCTTGTTCGAATCATTGGGGCCTCTATATTAGGGTTCCCGGCCCCTCAATTGATTTTCCATTGCTTCGCGTGAGAGAAAAGCCGGAAAAAAGGAGATCCGAGACCCCGAGCCAACGTGTTATAAGGATTCTATAAGGTGTAGGGTCTAGGTCGATTCGATCTTAACCCAGCTAGCCTACCTTTCTGATGGACTTTTATACGGAAGTTGCCTTACAAGGGTAGGTTTTATGCAGTTCAGAAGCCTTCGTTGAGCCCAACACCCACCTAAACTCTGGAATTGATTCCCGGTCTAAACCCTGACCCCTATATCCCAAAACCTCAAACTCCTACACTAAACCCCCTAAACTCAGAATTCCCACCCCAAAGCCTGAATTCTTGCTCCAGCCGAGCTCTGGCACGGATGAGCTCCTAGAAACTTAACGCTCCTCCGACTCCAGCTCTCCTGTCAACGTGGAGAATATTTAGGGCTCTCTTAGTCTATAAACCCGAGAAGCCCTAAAACCTTAAACCTTTGTCATGTTGGATAACATGTTAGATTTTTTATGTGTATTTAGGCCCTAGAACAAGGGAGCTCCCGTACAGTAGTGTCAACCTTTGAGGACCTACGGAGAGATCCTAATTCGGAGAACTACCCACATACCCATTCCGTTCCGATTTGTTTTGTCATGGTTGGGTAACATGTTGCATCTTGTGGGCATTTAAACCCAAGAATGAATAGAGTCTGAATAATTAGACGTTTAAATGTTGAATACCATCCCAATCAAGGTCTGGTCGCTAGGGTGTTGGGGTGTAGGGCTGAAGGCTGCTGGGGATTAATGGCTGAAACCCTGGAGACCTAAATCCTTCAAGTTTGTAGCTATGAAGGCTGTTCGATGCTTCTGAGTTCTTGTCGGGGCTGTCGAGAAGATTGAGCTTTTGCCGCACGATCTTGCCATCACGAATCAAGCGCTCTGAGCCAACAGGTCATGATCGATGTAAACAAAACCCCTGCCTAAGGTTCAGTCTGCGACACTGTGCTTTTCCGTACACTGTGTTGCCGTCAAGACGTGGCCAATCACAGCCATGCCCAGGAATTTTGAAAAACACATCAATGCAAACCAGACTGCCTAAAGATGCTGGCCTCTGCAGTTTAGTAGAGGGGCTGTTGGAAGGGTTGCTGGCTAGAGGGCTTCACAAGGCTTAACTCTAGTCACTTCGGCGGACTCGCTCTCACTGCGAAGCCATGACTGCAGCAATGGCCGCAGCCTCGTCTGGGTTTAGGAATCAGGTACTCGTTTATTTCGCTGAGAGAGTGCCAGAGTGCCATTTTGCACTTGCATCGTACACGCAGAGCAACATTTGATTGTGTTCTCTTGTAGTCGAGTCCAAAGACAAGTTCATAATCATATACCCGAAAACGCCATGAAAGGCCCCAATAGTAGGTGGAGGGAAGGTCATCAAGATGCAAAGCTTTGACACGAAGGAGCGACATCCTCGAGCCCAAAACCCGCCCGACAACAATGCCCTCGCAAATCCCTTTGGGACGGATTCGCCTTCCGATGCCCTAAACTTCCAGCCCACCTCCGAAGCCCATGATCAGGGTTTACGGTTCATTGGTTGAACTTGCGTTCTGTGCTGGTCTTCCGTTCTATATCTGTGCCATGATTGCGGTGCTCACTGCGACAAGAGGAAGAACCGGCATTACTGCTTTGATGGCGATGGTGAAGAAGAAGCTGGTGAAACATGACAAAAGCCACACCCTAAACCCCAAACCCTACTTAAACCCTAAACCACAAATCAAGGCTAGAAAGCAATCGTTTTCCCGAACCTCAAGCCCAAAACTAAAGCGGTGCAGAGGAAACGGAACACCAGGACGAGCCGGCACCTCAGACAGAGTTCTCGGTCGAAAGCCTGAAAGCCGTGGAGAAGATCACGATAGAGGTCTGCGTATTTACGAAGGCCCATACTGTCGCATACACACATACCCTACTCTTATAATGCCCTTGCGCAAAACCATCATGTCCCTCGGCCCTGAAAACCACAAAATCATGATCACGTCTGCAAGTTTGCGGAGTTTAGGGCAGTGAGGGCCTTTGGGTTGCCCCTAACCGTAAACCCCAGACCCCAAACCTGGCCTTTGATGAAAGTTTGGTTTAGGGCACCAGCCCGGCAGTTGCCCTGAATCACGGCACTCCATGGTTGCTTTGAAACTCAGTTCGCAAACCTCCTTCCTTGGGGAACAACAAGACCCTCATAAGTAGGGCCCCTATACCCGCAAGGTATACGAACGTAGGGCGCATTTCGGCCTTAAGATTAGCACAAGCAAACAACAGGCTCCGAATGGAAAAGTCCTTGTAACCCAGACCTACAGCCACAAACCCTGGAGCCTCAATGGAGTGTGGCAAATTTCAGAGCATCTTTGGCAGGGGACACATCTCATCTTATCGATTCATGTTGGTGCTTTGAACCTGACACTCTGAACATGCGGGCCCAAACCACCTGACACTGAGGCCCTGCTTCCCCAGAATACATTGAATTCGACACCCCGTGCGCGTTTAACGGGCTCGAAGACCCTGAAGCTTGCAACGCAGCATTTGGACCCGCACGTGCGTAGTTTTTCGTAGGAGTGAAGAACTTGGCCACCGTGATAACAGGTAGATTTGTGTAAGCCGCCATGCTAGAATCTAACATTCTGGCTAAACCCGAAACCCATAGACTCCATAGTAGTTCCTTTTTGGGGTTCATATTTTAGAATCCTAAAAGGTAATCCCCAAAAGGAACTACTATGGGGCCTATGGGTAGACCCATAAATCCCAAGCCCGGCACATGTGCCTACTTGGAGGGTCCGGGGACTTAGTAAGTAGGTAGTAAGTAGTAGACTTATAAGCACCCTAAAAGGGACCCTAACTGGGGTAGTAGACTTATAGTATATACCCTAAAAGGGACCCTTATTAGGGTTATCGTACTTATATGTCCCTAAAATAGCCAGTTACTAAGTCCCCCGACCCTCCAAGTAAGGTCTCTCGACCTCCTTTCTGGCACAGTGAAGAGCCTCGATGCACATTATGCCTAGGGGTCCTACGGTTGATGATATACTGTAAATCCTGCATGACCTTAAGGACCCTAGACTATGGGAATTATGGTATATTCCTTATTATGGGCAATGCAGGATTCATATCATCAACCGTAGGTATTGTCATGGGGGATACTCTAAGAAGGGATTTCCTTTCAGGGATCTATAGGTGTCCCTTTAAGGGTTCCTTTAAGGGAACTATGGTATTGTTATGCGGGATACTTCCCCGAACCATAATTGTAAGTCTTTAACATGAAACCCTCCGTTCTACTATACGGGTACTTTAATCCCTTTGGGATGGGAAGATAGCTATACCCTACGGGCCCCATAGTAGTTCCTTTTTGTGGTTCATATTTAGAATCCTATAAGGTAATCCCCCAAAGGGACTACTTTGGGGCCTATGGGTACGCTGAGGCGTTAAGGTTTGGAAGATCCCCGGGGTTTGTGGGCTTGGGCAGAACGCTTTGGGGCATGTCTTGTTTGGAGCTCTGGTAGACTTCGGGGACCTTGCAGGGATCCTCCTTGTACCTTCAAATAGGGGTACATGATCCCAAATAGTGGAGGGTCTAGGTTGCTGACTTAAAAAGAAAACCAGTGTCAGAAGAAGAACCTCGATCACCCAAACCTACTGGGCTTGAGACTAAGAACTCTGCGAAGAACCCGGGCTTTGGTAATCTCAAGTTCCTACATCCCACGCAGCAAGCTGCACGCCTGAACCCTGAACGCATCAACCGCGTGACTCCTGCACCTTTACCTCCTCCGCCCTCAACGCTACATTCAACCCTGGAGTAACTTAACCAGGAGAGCCTATAGTATGAAGAACTCTACGCACTAAACCCTTAAACCCGAAACTCCGTAAACCCTGTAGACCCTAAGCCCGAAGCCTTGCTTTTTCGGGGAGACTTCTAGCAAGCCTCGACCTCGAGCGGCAGGAAAAGAGCCTTGAAACGAAAGCTCTGGATCCGAAATACTAATGTCGAAGCCTAAATGGTATACTAATTTGGTATACCGTTAAAGAGTCCCTTCTTCTGGTGCAACAAGAAGCTTACTATAGGTGCCCAGATAATTAAGGATACTAATATGGGGTTTCCTCATAATAAGTAAGTATAGTAGAATCAACCCCCTCAAAACCAGGCTTTAAATATTAAGGAAGGCATTTATACTGCAATACTTCAGCGAGTAAAACTGAACAGCCGTTTCATCGCAGTGGTCGGAAGCAAGGAATCTCAAGAAGTTCGGCGGTGCCATCTCCGAGGCCACCCTTGCTCATAGTCTCCTTAGGAAATATGTTTCGTTTTTGTTCACATAAAACCCAAGAGAATATTTTAATTTATTATTAAACACATTAGTGGTACTGGGGTTCTAAGAGGTCCATGGGGGCTCCGGTGTTGAGATGTGTTTTTGTCTTTGAGGGTTTTATATGGTTTTACCCTTCGGAACAAAAATGACCCCTGAAAGGGTTCTAAGGTTCATATACCATACAGAGATGCATAGTACAAGATTCTAGGGCCCTTTAAGGGTCACATGGTCCTTCGGGACACGGGAGTTTCAATCTTGGCTTAGCTAACTAGCAGAGCAAGTAACCTTGAATTTAACCTGTTGGGTGTGTGCAATAAATCTTATGTGCCTCCAGAGGTTAACCTGCAGATCCCCTTGGAAACTGGACATGTAGGCTTGAGTATTTCTTAAGGCTTGAGGGTTAAACAAGTTCACGACACTTCGACGCCGGAACCGATTATGAAGTGGG